TAATTAAAAAAAAAACTATTAATTTCTTCCAATCCCAAAAGAATGAAATAAGTCTTAGGCTTTGAGCCCGTTACCCTCCACGCACCTCGAAAACAAGTACTTTTCTCCTCTCTGCTCCGTATTTCATTAATCCGTGGGACTTTATACGAACTCATGGCACAATACACTACACTTGTTTGAGGGAGACTGAGTCAGCCAAGTTCACGAGCTGTTAGGGTCAGGCAGTGTGAGACAGTGTTGCCACTCCCAAAAGTTTGAAGAAAACGCCACTGTGGTATTATTAAACGCATTAAGATCCCATAAAAAATAAACATGAATAAAAAATATATCAAAATGTACTCGAATAGTTTGAATATATGTATGATTAGAGGGATTCATTCTTAAAAACGCAGCTTAATGGGGGAAGAACTTGGCATCGGTGCATCGTTGCCACAAACGTTATCAACCCCAAAGGAAAGTGTTGCCACCTGACTCTCATGGTCCCTGACATTTATTTAAAAAAGAACCGGCGTGTGAAATGACATCGTAACAATTTAGACCATGAATAGATGAATAAATAAAAATACAATAGAAACAATATACATATATATATATGTAATATATCACTATCGAAGTAATAATGTCCTTATCGACAGATCTTACAGATCAACAGACCAACCACAACGATTTTTAAAAATTCCCGCCCTTTTAACTCCTACCTCCATCCACCCCGAAAAAACAACAAATATATACTAATAGCACACGGACACACATCCTTACATATTGTAAAATCAAATCCAGACATTTTATTTCCTCGCGTCTGTAAAATAAACAGGGTGCCGCTTTTGCTTAACCTAAGAGCGGGGAACCGGCGGTGCCTCTGATGACGTCATAGGCCTCGTTTTGCGGTTCACCGGACGAGGGAGAAAAGGGAAACTGAGAATGAGGGAGAGAGGGACAGAAGGAGGGAGAGAGATGAGGGGGGGGGCTGAGCGAAAGAGATAGATGTAGATAGAAACAGAGAGAGAGAGAGAGAAGAGAGAGAGAGAGAGAGAGAGAGAGAGAGAGAGAGAGAGAGAGAGAGAGAGAGAGAGAGAGAGAGAGAGAGAGAGAGAGAGAGAGAGAGAGACTTTAGACTTTGACTAGTTTATTGAGACAAAAAAGATTACATCTCAAAAGGATGTGTTAACGTAGGTTATCCTCACCCTCATCTTGTTAAGTCCCTGTGTAGGCTCACAGTTCTCATTAAAAAATAGGTGTATTATCAGATAATAACATGAAATACAAATAATAATAAAATAATATATAAATATAATAAAAAAATAATAAAAATAAATAAAAAAAAATCAGAGTCTGGTCTATAAAAGAAATATCGCACACACATCACAGATGGGTGTGAGTTACCGTAGGCGACCCATGTGTATAGCTGTTTATTTACAAAGGACAGGCACTCAGGTTGTCCCCGCGCTATCTAAACACATAGGCGTACGAGGACAAGGTCTATATAAGTACTTGTGTAGCCCTTCTTCTCCTAAAATTCTTTTCCTCCTTATCCTTCTCCTATCCCCACTCTTCCTTCCCCTACTCTTCTTTACACACTTTTACTCGTTTTTGTACGAGGATAGTGTCCACTTGTCCACTCGTCTTGCACAAATTCCAATTGATTCAAGAGTTTTTTTTTTTTTCTTGGTCGTTGTTATTCCAGCTGGACGGACCTGAAAGTCGCGGAATTTGTCCCTTCCGCTACACTCGCTGTTATTTGTATTCCTTTTCCCTTAATAGTAATTAATCTCACACTCTGAATCTTGCTCATTTGTATTCCTTTTTTAGTAATTAATTACATCGAATCTTTTGCTTCTCTGCAGGACTACTGTTTGTTCCATTTCTGAGTCTTGATGGAAGTTCTCGTTTTTTAATAAATGATTATCTTTTAAAAAAATCTATAAAAAATAAATTTTATAAAAGATTATCTTTATAGCCTCTTTTAGAACCCCCCCCCCTTCTGTTGTTCGGCTTCTCTCGCACCTTAACTTGGCCAGTTTCTCTTCTACAACGGCCATGCTCTGTAACGGTGTCTGCAGCATCCGGTAATTTCGGATATTCCTTCCCAGAAAAAAATCCGTAGTCCTCTGGGGCAACTTCTTCACTTCCTGCCCCTGTCCGTCCTGCCCGGGATCACTGCATTGACGGCCCACCAGCGCTGTCCCCCTCCCCCCTCGGCACCTCTGCATCATCATGTCGTCATCATCATTTTCGTTTCGTCGTCTCATCATCAATCCATCATCATTCATCTCATCATCTCATCCTCATCATCTCTCCTCATCATCATATCTTATCTTCATCCTCAATCATCATCTCTCATACCATTCGATCCATTCCTATCTACATATCTCTCTCATCATCCTCAATATCATTATCCTCATTACATAATTCATCTCATCTTCATTCTACTCTTCATATCATCCTCTTTCATTCTCACTCTCACCTATCTACATCATCATTCATCATCATCATCCTCTCATATATCATCATATCAATATCCTATCCTCATCTCTCAATCTCATATCGATCATCATCTCATCATTCTCTCTCATCATCATCATCTCATTTATCATCCCATCTCTCTCTCCCATATCTCATCATCTCATCATCTCATACCATCCACCTATACATCCTCATCCTCTCCTCAATCATCATATCATCTCATCCATTCATCATATCCTTCAATCATCTTCATATCATTCATACTTTTATCTCCATCATTCACTCATCTCTGAATTCACCTACCACTATCATCATCATCTAATATCATGATCCTCACTCAATCTCATGCCTCACATCATATTCTCATCATCATCCTCATCACCATCCTCTCCTCATTCTCAATTCATCTTCTTCACCATCATCATGAATCTCACCCACCATCTTCATCTAATCATTATCTATCAATATATCATCATATCATCCTTCCTTCCTCTCCTCATCTCTCTATCTCACCATCTATCTCATCTCATCATCTCATTCATCCTTCATCATCTCATTCATATCATCATCATCTCCTTCATTCATGACCACCTCAGTTCAGTCTATCACACCCATACATCTCTTCTCTGTGTCTTGAGAGTGGTCTGCGGCTCGCCAAGTATTATTTCGGCGGTTGTTAAAAGGAGGAGAGAGATAGGAGAGAAAAGATAGATGAGAGAGAGAGAGAGAGGAGGAGAAGAAGATGAGAGTCGCCACCAATGCATTGCCATGAGTCCAGGTCGGGTAAACACGGGAGTCGGAGGATCTCATACCCTGAGGACAGTACTGTAAAACGAGAGAGAGAGAGAGAGGAGAGAAAGAGGGGGGGGAGGGAAGGGAGGAGGAGGGAGGGAGAGAGAGAAGAGGAGAGAGAGAGTAGATAGATGAGAGAGAGAGAGAGAGCAGAAGAGATGAGAGAGAGATGAGAGAGAGAGAGAGAGAGAGAGTGAGAGAGAAGAGAGAGGAGGAGAGAGAGAGGGGGAAAGCGATTATAATAAATGGATAGATAGGTAGACAGATAGATAGATAGAAAAAGGAGAAAGTGCAAGAGAGAGAGAGAGAGGACAGATAAGAAAAGAAAGAGAAAGCGGACAAACAGTCAGTTAGACAGAGAAGAAGAAAAAAAAAAAGAAAGGGGGGAGGCGAGATAAAGCGATTGATATATACAGATTAATAGATATATCTGACATATACATATATACTACACATATATGCAAACATAACATAATATTTAATATATATATGATATTATATATATATATATATATATATATGGTGTGTGTCTGTGTGTGTGTGTGTGTGTGTGTGTTGTGTGTGGTGTGTGGTGTGTGTGTGTGTGTGTGTGTGTGTGTGTGTGTGTGTGTGTGTGTATACATACATATATATATATATATATATATATATATATATATATATTATATAATAGAAGAGTGTCGAATATATATATATATATATATATTTATATATATATATATATATATATAATAGAAGAGAGTCGAATATATATATATATATATATATATATATATATATATATATATATATATATATATATATATATATATGTATGTATATAGATAGATAGATAGATAGGTAGATAGATAGATAGATAGATAGATAAATACACACATATATAAATAGATAGATAAAAAAAGATAGATATACAGATATATGGAGAGAGAGGGAGAGAAAGAGAAAGAGAGTGAGAAAAAGTGTGTGTGTGTGTGTGTGTGTGAGAGAGAGAGAGAGAGAGAGAGAGAAGAGAGAGAGAGAGAGAGAGAGAGAGAGAGAGAGAGAGAGAGAGAGAGAGAGAGAGAGAGAGAGAGTGGTAGGGTATTTTCAGGGACACAGCGTAAATCTTAATCATGAATTCGAAGGAAAAAAGCTAGACAAGCCTCCAAAACATTCTACTCCACTTTTAGAACCAATACACAGGCTTTCTATTTAACCACTAATCCTAGTTGGAATGCCCCTCAATCTCAGGATATACCAGAGGTTTACGATGCACCGTCTGTCTGTCTCTGTCTCTGTCTCTGTCTCTGTCTCTGTCTCTGTCTCTGTCTCTGTCTCTGTCTCTCTCTCTCCCTTTCTCTCTCTCTCTCTCTCTCTCTCTCTCCCTCTCTCCCTCACTCCTCACTCCCTCTCCCCCTCTCTCTCTCTCTCTCTCTCTCTCTCTCTCTCTCTCTCTCTCTCTCTCTCTCTCTCTCTCTCTCTCTCTCTCCTCTCCCTCACTCCTCTCCCTCTCTCCCTCCCCCCCTCTCTCTTCTCTCTCTCTCTCTCTCTCTCTCTCTCTCTCTCTCTCTCTCTCTCTCTCTCTCTCTCTCTCTCTCTCTCTCCTCTCTCTCCCTCTCTCCCTCACTCCCTCACTCCCTCTCTCCTCCCCCCCCTCTCTCTCTCTCTCTCTCTCTCCCTATGAATTAACGAATCAATGAACCAGTAAACCAGCGAACCAGTGAACCATTAAACCAGTGAACCAGTGAATCAACGAACCAGTAACACTCAAGTGCCGGGTGTAGAAGGAACAGAGTGATACTAAAAAGTTATATCTGTTATGAGAGAATAACACGGAATTTTGGCTGGAAGGTGCAACATGGACCGAACCGCAGCGACTTTGTGTGTTTTTATTACGTGGTAAGGTTTTTGATGTGGGGAATATTTGAGAAATGTCTGGGAGAGGGAGAGAGAGTAGGAAGGGAGTGAGTGTGAGGGTGTGTGAGGGCGAGTGAAAGTGATAAAAAGAGTGAGAGTTAGATAGAAAGAGCGAGTGAGATAGAAAGAGTGAGAGTGATATAGAAAGAGTGGGTGAGATAAAAAGAGTGAGAGTGAGGTAGAGAGAGCGAGAGTGAGATAGAGAGAGCGAGAGTGAGATAGAGAGATGGAGAGAAAGGGTGAGGGTGAGAAATTGATACGGAGAGTGAGAGAATAAGTGAGTGTGGGGATGAGAACAAGTGTGTGTGAGAGAATGAATGGTTGAGTGAACTAGCAAGGAGAAAGAGAAGAAGAGGGAGAAGAAGCAGGAGAAGAGGATTGGAGGAGAATGAGAGGAAAGAAATGGAAAGTAAAGGAGAGGAGAAATAAAGAGATGGGGATACTCAGTAGATTGATAATTAGATACATATAATAAGTTTGTGTATGAATACTATATGTATATATGCATTTATATGGAATCACACATTACACAGTCATACCACATTACCATAGAATTGCTAGCCCTAAGTCTTTTTGTCATCTTTCCCAGGGTTGGTGTGGCCACCTGCTTACACCTGCACTCACCTCAACCCTTCTCAGCCGAAGCGGAGTGTCGATGTCTACCCTCCACCCACCACTGTCGCCTTGAAGTTCTTGCTCTGTCTGTAGTCTCTGCCTATTCACCTGGAGTGAGTTTGACGCGGGAACCTTTTTTTTATAATTCTTTGCTTTTTGGGAAGATTATTTTATCTGGTTTGGAGTGAATGTTCTATGCAGGATTTGTATATGTCATTTCTTATAGAAAGGTTGATTATATTTGATTATGTGAGTGGTGAGGTGACTTATCTCTTTTCAATAGAGGCCATTACTGTTCAGTCAATAGAAGTTGTATGTTTGATGGACAAAATCAAAGCAGTAAAAAAGTGACTTTTATAAAACTCTGCAATGTCCATTTCCATGTTGAGCAATAACTTTCAATTTAGATAAGACTGTATCGCTATCATGAAATTGTGTCCCATGCGCAGATCCCAGCTTGCATGGCTGGCTTCAGGCTCTGTTGCAACCGTGAATCTCCAGAATCACCTGCCCAAAACCCTGTCATTACCGATGCTAGAGGAAACATGCTGGTGAAAATGCCACCCAACTATAGACACCGTACTCACGTTAAAAATCCAGGTCAGTTTCCATTTCATCATGGTTAAATTTCATTTAATCAAAATGAGTTTTCTTTCCATCAGTGGCAGCTTAGATTTATCACTTGATAGCTGTTGCTTTTATTCAAAAGGTGGATGATTCTATGACTGGTAACAGCAGAAAAGCTTTGTTACTGTTAGAAAAGTAATCTCTTTTTCATATGAAATATTAATCTAGCTTTGATTTTTCTTTAAAATGCCATCTAAACTATCTTTAAACTTAGCAATAGACTGTATAAGTACATGGGAAGATATATAAAGTTCCAGTGTAATGTTATGGACAGACAGACAGACCAGAACTAGTTTATCCACTCACTTTCAGGCCATAAGGTCTTAGAGGACACAACAGTACCAAAGGAGGAGACTGGAGGAGTTCCTGGGACAGCAGATGAAGGAACACAAGAAGAAACATCACAAGATGAACCCAGTGCAGGAGAAGAAGAGATGGCAAAAAGCAAAGAGGATGGAAATTCTAGGACTGGAATACATGATTTGAAGCACTTGTCTAAAATAGATATTGAAGCAGGTTCAGGGGATGAAATGGTTTTACCTGGAAAATCTATTAAAGTGAAAGAAAATTTGGGTGCTGAAGACAAGAAAATAGAAAGTTTAAGTGATGAAGATGAGACTCATATAATGTTTCAAAACTTCTTAGACGTTACAGATAGTAAAAACCTAATGTTGGAAACTGAAATTCCGTATACGGATTACCCCAAAGTACAAAATAATTCTGACAAACATCACAATGATCTCCAGACAAACTCTGCTACTCAAGATTCTACCGAGATAAACAAGATACCACAAGATTCCCTCGTCACTGGAATGGTGGAGAATCTGCTTCACACCAATATGAATCGCAAAGGAAATCAAAACCAAATTCAAGGAAGCTCACCTCACAAAGAGCAAATAGATGACTCTATCAGCAATGAAAGAATGCTGGGAAAACACATAGAGGGAGAAACCCATGCTGGTATGAAAACAGAACCTAATATAGATAAAGAAGGAATTACAGTAACTCCCAATAACATCAAAGTTTCATATCTGGAAGACCCTGTGGATGCCCACAAGGTTGGAGAAAAGTCTGATGACATGGCCATGGATGTTGAGGTTTCCCATATTGCAGAAAAAGCTCTAGAGGAGTCTCTTGAAAGTGGAAACAGCCACGGGAGTTCTGTTGTTGAGGGCGAGATTTTAGAAGCTTTCCGGAATGCAACAAAGGACTCAGAACATCTTCAAGGCTTGGATAAACTTCAAGAATCTTCTGGTGGCGGCAGAGCACATGAATATAAGGATGAGACAAAGAAAACTGTAGGTGATTTTCATGAGGCAAGTATAATTTTACAAGATTCTCAACATGAGAATAAGATATCGTCTGTTTCTCCGAGTGTTAATAAAACGCCTGAAGATTACTCGGGTACTAAAGAGGATCTTATGGAGCGCCATGAAGAACAAAAGATTGTAGAAAATATTGAAGTTTCAAAAACTTTCCATGATTCAAATAAGACATCACATGAATTTCATGATCTTGGCAGCATTCAAGAGGATTCTCGTGATGCAAAATATCCTCACCCTGAAGAAATGGCTTTCCAAGATCCTGATGCAACTGAGAACATCTTTGTAAGCTCTGATATTCACAAAGAACCTTTTACAGAGGAAATAATTAACCCTGAAATAATCAGGACTCAGTCTGTAACACCAGGCTTTGAAATTGATCAAGCTTCAGATGAGAGAATGGGAGGATTCGTTGATGGCACTCACAGACAGAAAGGTGACACCATATTTGCTTTCACAACACCCTCATTTCCTGATACATTAGAGGCACCTGAAGTAGATTATCGCTTCTCTGGCCACACCCCTTCAATAGACATGCCTGAAGCTACGTCACCAGCACCTATTATTACGCTAGTCGCACCAGAGCTTCACTTTAATAAAGATGATGGTTCAGTTCCACAAAGTGAGAATGATGATAAACAGCAGAAAGACAGTGCTGTACAGGATGAAGACTTTAGCTCTTCAAGTGCGAGAGACAACCTAGAAAGTTTGACAACTCTAGGAACGGATGTAAATACCTTCAGCTCAGATAGACAGGAGTTCTCTTTCATCTTACAAGGACCTGAGGAGAATAAAGCACACAGAACTACTATATGTCCTAGCCTTCCATGTGATACTCCAGGAATAAGGACAGTGACAACAAAAACACCACAAGATTTGTACATGGATACAAGTGATGTGACAGAGACCGCAAACCTTGCACCTGGTAAGGAAGCAGCATCAACTCCCCCTCCTGTTGTTATTCCCAAGACCCTTCCTCCCCTGCACTTGAATTCCGAGGAGGAGCTGAGGGCTTTTTTGCTGTCGCTGGAAACTCTTCCCAAAGCTGGTACTTCTTCAGCTCCTCAGGGGGACGTCCTTCTAGATGTTAAAGATCTAAATCAAGGGAAAAGCACAAGTTACCTGTCTTGGTTGTGGGGGTAATTTTTTTTTTTGTCTTTGTGATAAAATGACCCAGTTTTTAAGAATGAGAATCTCTCATGTTTAAAAATATTTAAATTATTGTGCAACTTGCAGTAAGTTTGATGTTAGACAGCATTGCTTGCCAATGACAATTTTTTTTATTAATGTACAGTTGACATTTATTGTCTTGATTTTAATTATTGTAGGTATTGTATAGTGCTATGTATGAAATACACTTAGAAATAAAAATCAAATTTGAACCATAGACACCACAATGCTTTAAGCCTGTCCATGACCATAGCCCTTAAATAAGGCCAATTATGTTTTCAAATTTTAACAAGGCAATTACTGGTCTTTCATATTTCAGGATTTTCAAGGTAGTTTAAAATTGTTAGCTCCACTCCATCTTGATGAAAACACTATTTGGCAACTATTGTGCTAAGCCCCACTGCTTTGGATTTAGTTACTGCAGATGTAATTTTTTTCATTTATTTTTTTCTTTGTTTTGCTGGGGAAAAAGTCCATTTCATTTTTAGGTTCAACTGGCTAAATTGAAGCTACCCAGTTAGAACTACCTATGCATATTTCTATTTCATGTCTCAAATAGTGGAGCATCACAGCTGGAAAAGTTACTCCTAATATATGGATGAACAAAAAAAGAAGATAAAAAGTAAATATAATACATGTATATTAAATATATCTTAAAAAGGACAATAATAGACTGCACACTGACTTTTTGAAAATTTAGAATTATATTTTGCTGAAGGTGAATGAGGTATGGAATGAGGTATTCCACTTGGTACCAGAATTGCAATTTCACACTCCATTCATAAAACAAAAAACGGAGGAGCCTGACTGACTGAACAGCACAAGGGGAGGGGCTACTGGGAGGCAGGAGTACGGCACAGTGGGCATGGATAAATGTTAATGTTAATGTTTGAAGCAAATAAATGTGCTAGACATCAAAGGTCATATAGCACTATGATAAAGTATTGTGCCAGAAAGGGTAAAGAGGAGCTAAAGATTAGGATAAAATGTATCAATGTCAAAGATTAGATAACGTTAAGTATGGTAATAAAAAGGGATAGAGGAGAGTAAGTGAATTAAAGCAGAGATTAGTAGAAAGGGCAGGGTTAAGGGGGTAGGGCAATTGAGTGTCACTGTGGAAGGTATTGGAACAATGATCAAGGAAAACAGATGGCTGTTGGAAAAGTAGGAGAATAATCCAGGGACGGGGGCACTGCTAAAGGAAACCTGCCAGGCAAACCCAAATTTATTTGTGGTGTCTCATATCTAGAGTGAAAAGAATATGATTTGATGGCTTGATAGATGGATGATGCTACATTTTGTGGTGTCCAGGAAGCATAAATCTTGAGCTTCACACTAAGGAAAAGTCTTTATTGCAAGTGAAAGATTAGAAAAGACAAATAACTTCGTCCTAGAAGATAAGTAAAGTCCTATGCTCACATTTTGCTTTATTTTGCAAACAGTGACATATCATGTACTACTCCACTAATATCACATTAGCAGGGGAAACAATCAGACAAATACAAAGATACGAAACGGCAACTTTTGTTTAAAGTAAAACTCTTATTCTAGATATTACAGTCCTGAATATCAAACCAAGGGAAAAAAATAATTTTGCTAATGCCTTTTACACTTTATTTCAAATTTACTAATGGCTCTCACAATGTATTTCACATAAAGAAACAGCTGCTTTGTAATGGGTGTCTAGTTTGCTAAAGTAAACAAGTTTATTTTGTTCTCTTGCATTCATATTTGGTATCATATAGGATTTACACTTATTTTACAAGCAAATGACATAGCATTTATTCTTGTCTGTCTACGAAACCATACCTAAGTCATGCACAGTACTTCTCATACATGAAAATTCCAGCCGTGTAGAGTTACAGTTTCAGTAATTGCCTTTTCAAATTCTCAAATGCAAAACAAACTGTATCTATAAATGAATCTACTTTGTTTGTGAATATTCCTTCATTATTAAATAAATATTAAAATAGAAAAGAAAAGATCATAAAAATTAAAGAACTTGTCCCATGATTGAATTAAAACCTCAATATGAAACAGATGTCTTTCTTTCAGGACACTAAAACCAAATATATTAGCCTGTAAAACTCATACTCTAAAAACTGTTGTGTATTTTTAATTAGCCTTTCTTAAAAATGAGAGAAAAAATAAAATGTTGGAAAAAAGAAATTACACTGAATGACGTTACACAACATAAAACTGAGAAACATAATTCAATATAACATATTGTAAGTAAAACCACAATACCTGTCATTTCATACAATAAATCTCAAGCACAATCTGACAAACGATTTTTCACTGGTAGCACCAACCAACCAATCCAGAAACAAACAAAACTTCCTTTTCTCACAAAATGACTAAACACTTGAACATTTTTTGACCTAAAATGTACGACTGCAGCAACAAAGGAATGTACTGATAAAAGGTGCCTCTGCTTGTTATTAAGATTGCCCTGAGTACTCTGAGGGCAAGATGATGTCTTCGTTCGCCATCTGCTTGTCTATGCTCGGTGGCTTTATATTGATGCGCTTTTGAAGTTCCTTTGAATTCTCCTGGAAAGATGCAGAATATTAAAGGTGCGAGGTGAAGGAAGAGTTGTTTAAGTAGCCCCATTTCAATCCTAATAGAGATACATTAAAGTTATATATATGCATACTTTTCTTAAAATAACTAGTTTGTATATATGTTAAACAAGAAAAATGCTCAATACTGTTCATGTAGTAGATGACTGAATTAAAATTTATCTTAACATACTAATAAATGAACATCCTTAGCAATGGCTGGCTCAAATCAAGGATGATACCCATCTATGCCATAACATGGATAGGAGATATAAAATTTTACAGAGCTGATGGTGCTAGCTCCTGTGTGAAAGCCTTCAGCCTATACCCTTGTCTCATTAAGAATCTAAGACACAGGGAAAATAACATCGCACTCCTACTATCTCTCTGGTGTGGGTGAATCTGATGATAACAACTCAGCTGTCTATGGTATGAGACTGCAGAGCCATGTGCAAATCTTACCTGCACTTCATTGAAAGACCGGGGGGTTAGAGGAACCCCTCCATTCTCCCCACCGGTGGTATTCTCTCCCTCGCAAGCCGAGACCGTCGTCGCAGGGGAGTTCACAACCTGCGGCGAATCTGCAGCCTGCCCGTTCTGATTCTCTTCTCCCAGTTCATTTGCCATGACTTGCGTTAGTTCTATACTCTCGTAACGGACTGTTTGGAGGCGGTAGTAGCCATCTTCGTCTTGGATGTACCTGATGGATTGGATTTCCATTAGTTTTATATCATTTATGACAAATATGTTCCTGTAACATATTGGCAAAATTAGTTAAATCTAATAATCTTCCAGCACACGTTATACTGATAATCTTTTGCATCTGTTTAAACTAAACAAAGACATCTACATTTATCTCTACATGAAATACTTTGTGTTCCCAGCATCTTTCTATCCTTTTCATTATCAGAAGTGATAAAAAACAGTACCATGTAAAAAGTAGAAAAGCAGTGCTGAACATTTTGACTAATTATTGGCTTTTCAATTTTTTTCTGTAAAGGCAATAGCTTACAGTGACATACCAAGAAAAAAACACAGGAATACAAGCGCTCACTCACTCACTCAAATACTACTCCTTCACTAACTCACATGCACATGCAAATAATAATAATAATAGTAAGAAAAAACATTAATATGGATGAATTTGTTAGACACTGTATTTTGCTTGAGAGTTTTAAACAAACACAGGCATCACTTACTCAAATCCCTTTCTGTTGAGTGCTTACCTGAATCTACTGTGCCCAGATGGACAATGGAAATTGTGAACTTGCATAAGGTGTTTGGAGAGGCTGTATCCCACATCATACTTTTTGTTGCATATATGGCACAGGTATGGCTTTTCCATCATTCCATTATGTTTCTGAAATGAGTAAAAACAATCATATTTTACCTCAGTCAGTTTCCATTCTGTTAATAATCTGATCATAAACAAAGAGAGTGAGACAGAAAGAAAGAATTGATATCCTAAGTGATAAAAATATGTAAATATGATCATTCAAACTCCTAAAAAGAGTTAACACCAGATTCGAATTCTTCATCAACAAATACATCATACTGCTCTGAATGTAATCTAACAAAAAATGTGACGAGAGGATCTATGCAAAATTTGAGTTGGGGGAAGAGACAGAATTAGTCGACTCTCCCTGGATCCACAATGCCTCTCAGCCAGTGGTCCAGCTTAGGGAGTAAGATCAACCATGCTTAATCTAGCATCTAGTGTGCTTTCAGCTCAGGCAATGAGAAAGAATGTCTAGGTACCACAAATCCTCACATCTGCACATCTCACTTATTATTTCACTTTTTTTCTTTTCTTTTTAGAGCCTCATTTTCATATTAACATAAACTAATGCATGATGCTAACAAGAGGAAGTAAAGTTACTAAACATGAAAGATTACATAAATTTCATATCAATTCATGATTTATGAAATAAATTTTACCAGTATTGCCAGCTGTTAGGGGAAACTAACGGTTAGCAGTGTCAATGTAAAAATAACATAAGCTGAAGATTACTTCTGAAAGGGTAGCATGTGTGGTTTGCATTTCGAGGCCTTTGGAGAGTCTTAATAATATTCCTACCTATCAAGCTTATGAAATTCCAGCCAACTTTAGAAAACTTAAGACAGTCTTTAATATCTCTAGCCTACAAATATTAGTGAACTAAAACCTTACCCTCTTAACGTGTCTCATTAAGGTGGTCACAGCCTTTGCAGCAAAATCGCATTCTTCATATGGGCACACGTACGCTGGCTCTTCAGAGTGGGTGGTCATGTGGCGAACCAAGTCAAAAGTATGTTTGAACCTGAGGGCACAAGAGGTTGCATTTAAATATGAAAACTATGTGTAATATGAAGAAAAAGAAAGGGGAGGGAGGGAGGGAGAGAGAGAGACTGAGAAAGACAGACAGCCAGACAGAGACAGACAGACAGAGACAGAGACAGACAGACAGACAGACAGACAGACAGACAGAGACAGAGAGAGAGAGAGAGAGAGAGAGAGAGAGAGAGAGAGAGAGAGAGCAATATATTACCAAATAACAATACATATCCATACATGTCATTATATACACCTACCCACGGCCACACTGAGGACACTTGTGTGGCTTCTCTTTGGAGTGTCTGAAACGGAAATGAGTTGCTAGGGTTGACTTGGAAGGGGTGGTCATGTCGCACTCAGAGCACTTGAAGAGGTTGATGTGATGCCGCAGGTGATCTCTTAGCAGTCTCTCAGTTCCGAACTTTCTTGAGCAGTGAGAGCACTTGTAGTGTAACACTGAAAGGGTGCAAAAAGACACTTGTTTAAAAAGAATTCTTATTCTTAGGCATGGGCACCCAGGTACTGATCTACTATTTGGGAGTCCAAACTTCTCTGGTGCCACCACTAAGGACTCCAATTATTCTTAGGTTGTAACATAGGATCTCTATTAGAAATCTACACTTACACTTACACTTACACTTACACACACACACACACACACACACACACACACACACACACTTACACTTACACACACACTTACACTTACACTTACACACACACACACACACACACACACACACACACACACACACACACACACACACACACACACACACACACACACACACACACACACAAATCACCACAATCTTCCTCTTCCTCATTATAATCAGTCATAATCTAATATATCTTCATACATATATTTCACTTAGCAGAATTTGTAACAATAACAAAAATCCCCTTGATGGCAATAAGACTCAGGGAATCTACTGGTACTACTGTATTGATGCCAGATGATTAATACTGAGGTACCAGAAGGTGAATGGTAGCAAACTAAGATCAATCCCTGTATCTAATGCCTACACTGATGTACATATTTAACTGTTTCTATCAAGATCAATAATCTTCAACCATTATTCTTTTTTTTAATAAGCAAGAACTGAGTTAAAACAAAGAAGACAACTCCTCTACCCTTCCTTTGCAACCTTCCTAAAATTAATCCCAACCCCCTCAAAAAAGAAAAAAGAAGAAAAAAAGAAGAAGAAAAAGAAGAAGAGAAAGAGGGAAGAAGTCTTACCAAATAAATAACAAAACAGACAAACTCACTATCAAATGGAATCTGCTGACTGCAATGATCGTATAGCTTGGTGTTGCAGGAATAGATCATGCCGCAGTTCGGACATCCCACGAGCTTCTCCTGAGTGTGGCTTCTCATGTGGTCTCTGAGCTTTATCTTCTGGGTGAACACTGTCGAACAACCTGCTGGCAGAAGGGGGCTTGCTGGTGAAAATTTATAATAAGCGTTTACATGGTGACACTTCTTCATGTTCTTACCCTCTGGTTCTGAAGCCAAAACAAGCATATGGAAGACAGAAGGACAGAAGGAGACAAGGAAAGAGAGAAATGGGGAGAATAAGAACAGAGAAAAAAGAAAAACTAATGATTTGGACATAGATGAACTGGTTAATACAAAATACCTCTACAACTACTAATAAAACAATAAAACACAATATTACAGAATAATGCGAGATAAGATTACTGAAAATGAGAAATACTTCTGAAGAGCAAATGAGTACAAATGCAAACTATAAACCACAAAAAGAAAATTTTGGAGTGAAAATAAACTGAAGTTGAAAAGAGAGACATCTATACAAGCCTTAAAATTTTCGATGATTCACTTGCAAAACATCTGTAACTAACTAACTAAATAAATGAAAAATACAGCCGCAAAGTTGTCGGTCATCTTTCCTTATAAAACCACTGGTTATCATCACTCTTATATCAAAGAGCCCACCATGATACTCATACAAAATGGCCTTTAGCCTACACCTATCTCCTGGCCATATAAGAAAACTCTTCCACGGTTTAAGCATTGCCCACCAGTGTGATTGTGGTTATGATATCCCTTAGTTATCAATTTCAGGTGCTTACTGTTCCACTAAAATACACATTAGCCAAATTTAAAGTGTATATCTGAAATCCGATATTTTCCTCTGTGCAATCATGAGAATAATAATACTTCAACTTTTTATTTTTGTAATACTTATACATATATAATTTCTTCTTCTGAGGAGGGGCAATACCAGGGGATGTGCACTGGCCTTAGGGAGTTAAAATATAAAAAATAACACGATTCATCCCTTTTCTAATCTTAAAAAACCGCCCACCCGCACAAACAGAGGAAGACATGCAAAATACGAAACTCACTACCCCTGAATTCCAAAGTCATCACTAAAATACTAAGGAATATTGCAAAGTAATCCAGCAAACATCACGAGAAATGATTGACAAAAGCAAATGACCTCCTATTCACTCTCTATCCTTGAACTAAACCTGATACCACTGAACCTCACCTTCCCAGAAACACTTGTACACTTTGTCGGTATTGGGGTCGGAGCACACAACGTGGCTCTGAACATGCCAGTAGAAATTTTGTGCCGAGGCGAAGGACACCTTGCAATCCTCCCACATGCACTGGAAGGGCTCTGGGATCTCTGGGATCATGTTGCATCCTGAGGAGTCTAGAGAGCACTGCCAGGAGAGAAGGATAGATGGGATCTAAATCAATCCAAAAAGATATTAAAAAATATTGATCATAATTGTTTTTATAAAGATGGGGGCACTCCCGATATAATGTCTGTTGAGCATGCAAGCAATCACACACTTAATAATTACAAGGTAGTAATTTGGACTTGAATGATTACAAATCAATTCCTATTACGATTTAATGACCTTTAAATTCAATGATGTAATATGTATAACAACAAATAAACAAAAGTCTGTTGATGATCCCTAATACCAAACTAAAAAACTTCAAAAAATCTCACTGAGAAAGAGCATGAATGACAGAACACTCTACACTACTGACAAAAAGACAGAAAAAACTTTCCAGGGAAAAAAGAAAAGAAAAGAAAAGACAACAAAACAAATAAAAAAAAAAAAATTAAAAGGTTAATCCTCTAAAATCTTCCCACAACAAATTTCCTTTGTATCAATTTTTTTTTTATGCCATATAAGAAAAAGAATCAGAAAAAGAGGAAGATTCATAGAAAACACAAACTAACAAACACTCACGTGGTAATTCTTTTCCTTTAGAACCACCGTCCCTAAACTTTTGATCTTTGTGTGAAAGGCATGGAAGAAGATGTGACGGTCTAGTTCCTCTGTGGTTGGACACGCAAAGCCGCATTCCCGCCAGTAACAGATATAACCGTCGCCCGTCAGATGATCTGAGGAGATGGAGCTTCCGTGTCATTTGGCATTGTGATAAAGATTATGCTGAATCAGTTTTATACTATGTAGCATGGACAAAAGAATAACTGGATGATAATTTTGTTGTTTAACATCCCTGTAAATTGGTTAAGAGATAAAATAACTGAATAAGCTGAATTGTAATCTCATTTTGATGAGAGTGAAAGTTAACAAGAAGAGATGACACACAACAGAGGGGTAATGATTAAAGAAACAATACTTATTTTTATGAAGCTAGAGAGAGAGAGAGAGAGAGAGAGAGAGAGAGAGAGAGAGAGAGAGAGAGAGAGAGAGAGAGAGAGAAGAGAGAGAGAGAGAGAGAGAGAGAGAGAGAGAGAGAGAGAGAGAGAGAGAGAGAG